CTCCAGATGGCTTGAGTTTCTAAGCCACCCTGGCATGCCGTACATGCTATGTCAGCCTAGAAGAGAGCTCTGCTAAACCAGTCTAACCTAAGGTTGCTGAAATACTTTTGTGGACACTGCTCCCACCCTGTCCAAAGTCACTGTGAGGGGTTTTCCTCCACCAATTAGAGCCAAGCCCCAGAACAAGAAACTGCCTCACAGCCTTTCACGGAGGAAACCTCTGCCTTGCAGGTTTTGCAGAATGAGAGTGATGTAAGGAAAACCAAGCCTTACAGTTCTAAGGAAATAATATAAAAGGACCAACAGATGCGTCTCCTGTGTCCTGGATGTGTCCACTATGAGAACACAGATCCAGTTCTGTGGGCTGGAATGGGGCAAATCTTTCAGAAGAGCATCCCAGGTTACTTGGCAAAACCCCAGCAGCTTTAACTTTATGGGTGACATGATGTGATAAAAGCTGATTTATGAAGAAGAGAAAAAACAAAGGCCAGAACCCCAGCCTGGTGCAGCCACCTCAGCTCAAGATGAAAGCTGCCCAGAAGGTTTGCTCCAGCGATGATCCCTTTTCCACTGATACCTTGTTGCACTCACGTGGGGTCCCAGCTAGTACTGGAGTTACGCAGGCACACTCCCTTTTACCTTCCCTCACCTCCTGTCCACCATACGAATACCACCTTCAGAGCCTGTACAGGTCTTATTCAGTGGATTAAGGATAGGAAAATCCACAGAACCCCATCCTCAGCCCCCAAACACATCCCCTTGAAGCTGATCATGAGGTGCAAATCAAACCCAGATTATCTGGTGCTAGACCAGGAATAGATAAGGCTTGGGAAGTGCTGCTATCCTGCTGCGACATCCCGGTGAAAAAGTGTTCCAGGGTCTGTTCCCTGTTGCAGAAGTTTGCAATGCAGCCAGAGATGTAAAGCAAACAAACAAACAAAAAACAAAACAAGAAAGCAGCTGTGCTGCTAAGAAAAATGAGTGCTTAGAGCTGCCCGAGCTGACAGACCTGGAGGAAATGCGAAAGGTCACTAACCCGTGGGCTCTGCTAGCACTGCCCACCAAAACAGCTGCTTGACTAAGATCTCTGGTAACCTGCAAGGAGCAGGAAAGATGGAGCTGGATTCTTAATTTTAGGGCAGCAGGGACATCCAGTGAGGAGCAAATGCAAACAGCTCCTTTCAGATGAGGCAGTAAACTCTGAGGTGAGGTGTTTGCCACCTGCAAACTTAAAAGGTTAAGGAGGGAGGTGCCAAAGTGAAGGGAGTCCAACAAAACAAAGGCCCAGTTCTCCTGGGTAGTTAACAATTTGCTCTGGTTAAATCTAACCCACTGAGAGATGACAGAAACACACAGATTATCAGCTTGGGTCAATGTTAATGAGGGAAATAAAATGAGGAGACATACTTTAAATTCCAGTGACACAATCAGCAAACGCCTTTCATCACTTTGTGACAGTGAAAGAAGTCCTTTATAATTAACTTAATTTATAATTAACCTGGAATAGAGGTGCTTCCCTTTTAATGCAGGGAAAGCTGAAATGAGGAAGCCCTCAGGGATAAAAACGCTGTAGTGACATGTGGCCATGCAGCCCCAGCTGGTATCCAGTGCAGACTGGATCTTGCTGGCATAAATCTCCCTCTGAGGCAGTGCTTTGGGAGCCCGAGTGCCTGGCAGGCTCTGGGAGTGCCTCTCACCCTCCTGCCACACTGCACTATGGCTCCTTGAGTCACTTTGTCTTCCAAGAGCAGGCTAAAGCTTCTTCCTGGAAGTCTGGCTGTATTTCTCCATGGTATCCAGCCAAGCCCTAGAGTTTTCCCCAAGGATGGAATGGGCTGGAAGATACCATGGTGGTGAGAGCACTAGCTCTGCAGAAGGGCCCAGGAAATTGTGGGCAACTAAACTCTTCAGGGAGTCATGACTATCCAAGCAAAAAGGCAGAAACTTCTCAGATGAGACCAACTAATGTGCTGTGGTAGCAGTAGAGAGAACCAGACACTTCAACAGCAGAAGCAGAGGATTGCCTAAATTCAAGTCCCCCAGATATTCTAAGGGAGAGGAAGCAGCCTGTGAGTATATATAGAAATACAATGTATATATCTGTTATGGTGTTACAGAATAATATTTCGGTTGTAAGAGTAACCAGGGGCTATTGCTGAGAACAGAACCCCATCCAGACAGTGTTGGCATAAATATTCCCTAAAGATGGTGTGAGAGAAAGATGCAGCCTTTGCCTAATGCACTGAGAATGAACTTAGAGAGAGAAGAACAAATCTGCCCCGAAGGAAGTGAAAAGACAAACCCTAATTTAAAGCAAATGGTAAGCTTTCTCCCACACTAGAAAGGGTGAGGGGTTTCTCTTGTCATTATTTTACCAGCACAACCCTTGGATTGGAGCAGTTCTCCCTGCATGGTCAGTGTCAGGGATTGAGGGGCAGTGGCTGAAGCAGTGGTGCCCTCCCAGGGTGGTGCACGCCCAGAGTTGCTGTGCTGGCCCCGGGGCTGGATGCCTTCTCCAAAGGAGGAGAAAGCTTCTGCTCACTCCTTCTGCAAGAAGTGGGAGCTCTTTCTGAGCTGCAGCCAGGAGCGACTCGGGATGTCCTGCAGTGTGTGCGGGCTCAGTGCACCACACAAAGCAGGCACGGGCAGTGAGGAGCCAGCAGGCGCTGGCCTCTGCACCCCGGGTCACACCCTGGTCCTTGAGGTAGCCAGCAGCAGGGTGTGTCCCCAGACCTTCCCAAACCAGGGGAAAGCCACGTCTAATGACAGCAGTGACTAGCCAGGGATAGACACCAATGGCTAGGGTGTATATTTTCCCACAGATGAATAAGAGTAACAGCATGCTGCACCCTTTGCTTCTGAAGCAAATCTGGGATGTTGATAGGGAATTACAGGGAAATCAGACTGGCCCGTGGTCTGTTGAGGTGCAAGATGTGCTTTGTCTCACCTTGTGCAGGGAGGCTGGGATCACCCCTAGCGGGTGGGATTGGCCAGTGTGGCCTTGCTTTGCAGCCCTTTACCAGCCCTCTGAAGGGGAAGAACCCCCACTGTGTCCCCTGGTTTTGTCCCACTTCATCCCTGGGAAAGACGCAGGACAGTGGGGCAACTCCGCATTGTAGCCTCAGAACAAACACTTCACTGATTTCACTCAAGGCAAGGAGTGCTTTAAATGGAAAGACCAAAGGCTTCTCTGCTAAACCAAGCAGGCTGCCAGCGCAGAGCACTCCAGGAAAACAAACAGCGCCGTCTCCGTGTGCTATCAGAAAGGTGATTCGCTGTCGGAAGGGTCAGAGGGAGAAACTCCAGGCTAGAAGAGCAGCCCACGTGAAACGTGTGTTTCGGGAGTCAGAGGGCCCAGCGCTGCAAGGAGAAGACAAGTCTCCGGGGATTTCACAGAGCTGAAAGGAAAACAAATACACAAACCCAGCCGACCAAAGAGAGTTTGCTCAACCCCTCACACGTGCCAGCGACCGGGGGAACAACTGCACAGTAACTCAGGCGCCTAAAGCCTGTCTCTAACACGTGATCCCGGCTAACACCGCTGGAGAATGGGGCTAAATTAAGGTGGAATTAGTTGGGATTTCTCCAAACTCTCCGAGGAGGGGGCTTGCTCTCAGTGGCATTTGCTACCAGTAGGAACTCTGCTCCCGCAGTTAACTCCTGACTTCTGTACCGCACTGGTTAGTGGAGTTAGCTGGAGATGAGAGCATGGGCGGGATTTTCCCTACATCACTTTCAGTCAGCATTTTGTTCTCTTTATGCACCCCAGTCACAGGGCTGCAACCCGAGCTTGTGACTTGTTAGTTCCAACGCAGCTCAGCTTTGCTAAAATGCCACGGGAATGTTCTGAAATGGGTGTGGGGGAAATCTGGGGCAAAGGATGGTGTCAGGAGTCAGGATGCTGTTCCTGTAACAGCTCGAATGAAGTTTCAGCAGCCTCCCGCAGGGCAGCGTGTTTCCCACCACCACCCAGCCACAAATTCCTGCTTTGTGTTGTGAGGTGCCGGGCACGGCCCTTCCAGGAGTGACCTGCAGGCAGGTACCTCGCAGGCTGGCCAGTGCTCAGAGAGCAGCTCTCACTGCGGCTTTACAGGCAGGACTGGGAAGCTGCGTGTCATTAGCGTCACTTCAGGCCTCAGGGAAACTGAGGCACAGAGGCCTGAGGACTCTGTTGAAGCCCATGCAAAGGTACAAGCTGATCCAGTGACACGGCCCCACAAGGCACCGCAGCCGCTCCCCCTTCGCCTCCCAGCCCTTCAGAGACCCTCGGGGCAGTCACGGTCGCTGCTTTCTGGGGGCGCAGGAAAGGGGAATGGCAGGCGCTGGGCACTCTCTGGGACAGCAGCCTCCTCTCCCTGTCCTGCCGGCTGTGCACAACCCTGCCCGGCCTCTTTCTCCCCGAACAAAGCATTTCTCTTTTCCCTCCGGAGCCTTTTGCAACCGGAATGGAACCAGCGAGATCGTGCTACTTTTCAAAAGCCGCAGCCTGAGTTCTCACATCTCCTTAGAGCCCCACACCACCAGCGTTAACATTTTAGGCACTGCTGAAAGGCTGACATGGGCTGTACCGAGCCCTCGGCTTTCATTTGGCAGCGAGGATTTGTACCCAGGGTCTCCCGCCGGTCCAGGCTCCTTGCGGGCACCGGGCTGGGTTGGGAGAGCACAGGAACACGAGGACTCCCACCCCTGATTTTAGGCAGAGATCGCCCAACAAAAAGCAGCCACCTCGCTCCTGGCACAGAGCAGCTCTCCGGCTCCCGGGATCGGAGCCAACAGACGCTGCAGAGCAGCTAGGAGAGCTCACAGCAAGGATTTCTAAGATCAAGCAGAAGCAAACAATCACCGGTTCTGAAAATCATACAGAAACTGCCCGCACAGAACAGTAATCCACAGAGGCCTCCCGCTGCCCCTGTAAATGGCCGGGAAGCTCCGGCCCCAACAGCTGCGATTGATCAATCCCTTCTTTCCCCACTTCCCCCGGATCATGTGATGCTCCTGCCCGGCTGAGTTCAGCTGCCGGAGCTCGGCGCTGCGTCACTCCGAGCTGGAGAAGGGGCTCGGGGCTGCTCTCGGCAGCATGGAGAAAGTGAGTGCCGCCTGCGAGCCGGGGTGCTGTGCCCAGCAGCACTGGGACTGCGGCTGGGCTGCCTGTGGGTTTTGGGCGGGGTGCCAGGGGTAGGAGGAGAAGAGGATTAGCGGAGGGGAAATGCGAGGCTGATGTACGGCTTGTGGGAGGAATAGTTAGGGCTGACCAGCCGTATTTCTTCTCTTCTCTAGCGTGTTACCTAAGTGGGGAAGCTGAGGAATGTTTATATTCTCGAGTACTCTAAAGGTTTGGGTCCATTTACAGCCCTATGGTTTCCAGACTCTTCATACTTTTTTCCCCCTTAATCTGTATTTTCCTTCTGGAAAAACGCCTTTTGGGTGCGGGACTGGGTTAACTCTCAATGCAACAGGAGAGGAAAGCGGGCTGGCAGTGCATTCTAAACCAGCCCTGCTCCCGCAGCTTCCCTTTCCTCGAAAGACCCCCCGGGCGCAGCGGCTGCATTCCAGAGCCAGGAGGCAGAGTTAGTGCCGTGGGGATAAGCACTTTAGTGACTCGAGGAACCCTGACCTCAGCAGGCTGTGTGTGGGCAGAGCGGCGAGCAGGCATCAGGGCAAGGACAGCGTCAGGGGGCTGGAGGCAATTTTGAAAATTTGCAATTTGCCTCCCTCCCTGAGCCTACCCACGGTTAATAGCTCACTACACAGCTGGTGAATCACCTCCTGCGCGGGGCTTGTGTGGCCAGTAACTGCGGGGGCTACCAGGGTGGCTTCTGTGGGAAGCTGCCAGAAGCTTCCCCCAGGTCGGGCAGAGCCAAGGCCAGCAGGCTCCAGGATGGATGCAGTGCTGGCCAAGGCTGAGCCCTTGAGCCACGGTAGGAGTGCCTCTGTGATAACACCCTGCAGCCTGTGGTGAAGGCCATGGTGAGGCAGCTGTCCCTCTGCAGCCCGTGGATGTCAACAGGCAGGCAGAAATCCACTTGTGCAGCCCAGGGGGATGCCCGGAGAAGGCTGTGAGCCTGTGGAAAGGGAGCCGTGTTGGAGCAGTTGGTGAAGAGCTGCAGCTCACATGGAGGACTCATGCTGGAGGGGACAGTGGGAGGGATCCACACTGAGCAGGGAAAAACTCCTCTCCTTAAGCAGTGGCAGAAACACCCTGTGCTGAGCTGACTGTAAGCCCCCTTTTCCTGCCTCCCTGCGCCACTGAAGGGGAAGAGGTAGAGCCCAGGAAGGCATGGGAAGGAAGGCATTTCTAAGGCCTATTTTACTTCTCATTATCCTGCTCTGATTTTAATTGGTAATGAATTCAATTAATTTCCCCAGGTTGACTTTGTTTTGCCTGTGACAGTAATCAGTGAGTGACTTCTCCCTGTCTTTGTTTCAACTCAGGAGCCTTTTGTTGTATTTTCTGCCCCCATCCAGTTGTGATAGAGTGGCTTTGGTGGGTACCTGGCATCCAGCCAGGGCCAACCCACCTTGAGGTGACACCTCCTTGTCACCCGATGCTGCTTAGGGCAGTGGGAGACCCCCGTGGCTGCTGGGACAGGCAGGTGGCCTGACTCAACCTTTCCTCTAGCACAAAACTCACGTTTGGGTCTGCCAGAGCTGCTTTGTGCCCTGGCCCAAGGAGAATTGGAAGTCCTGCCTTGGGATAGACTGACTCCTGTGGTTCGGCCCTGCAGGGACTGGTTGTTACTCAGCTGGATGTTGAGCCTGGTGAGTGCATCAAGGTCAAAGGGAAGATCCAGTCTGATGCCAAAGGGTGAGTGAGGTGGAGAATGGATTGATGGGACACTGGGGGAAGCCAGAGCTCCTGCTGTGTTTGGCTTGTGAGCCCTGGCGGCTGGAGCCGCTGCACTGGCACCCTCTGTGCACTGGCTGCGTTTCCCCAGGTTTGCTGTGAATGTCGGGAAGGACAGCAACACCCTCATGCTGCATTTCAACCCTCGCTTTGACTGTCACGGGGACGTCAACACCATCGTGTGCAATTCCAAGGAGGATGGCATGTGGGGGGAAGAGGACAGGAAGGCTGACTTTCCCTTCCAGCATGGTGACAAGATAGAGGTGAGGCCCCAGGAGCGTGTCCAAGGCCAAGCTTTTTAATGCTGCCCTGTGCCTCTGCGGTGCAGAAGGACATGGAAAGGGGAATGAGCCACAGGGGAAGAGTTGGGCAGCTGAAGCCAAGGAATCGTCTAGAGCTGTGCTGCCCGGGTCCGTGCCCAGCAGCTCGCACTCTGGGCTCCTGTTGGAAGCCGTGCACCTCGGAGCAGTATCAGCACTGAGGATACTCGGACTGGCTCTGCCACATCCCACGGATGCAGAAGCTTCCTCCCTGCCTTCTCTGTCTCTGCTGGGCGGGGAGGAGGCGGAGCTGCTGAGCATGGCCTTGGCAGCGGCGGCCAGCTCGCCTATTCTGCCCCAGACTGGAGGTGGTGGGGAGTGAGGAAAGCCTGGGAGCTGTGATGTGTCAGCCTTCATTCCTTCCTTCCCTCTCACTTCTCTCTACAGATATGCATCTCCTTCGATGAAACCGAGGCCACGGTGAAGCTGCCTGAGGCGGAGTTCAAGTTCCCAAATCGTCTGGGCATGGAGAAAATCGAATACCTGGCTGTGGAGGGTGACTTCAAAGTCAAAGCCATTAAGTTCAGCTAACAGCTATAGCTTGGTTTGTTTTGTTTTCTGCCCTCTGTGTAGTGAAATAAAGCGAAACTTGCAATGGCTGCTTCCTCTGCTGTTTCCTGCTCTAATCTGCTTGCTCCTGTCTGTGCCACGGGTGGGCAAGGAAGGGATGTGTATCCAGCCATTCTTCTCCTTACACTGCAGCCTTGCAGCTGGTACTGAGCTAGACATGAGCCAGGCAAGGCCTGACTCACTGAGCGAAGCTGCCTTAGCACAAGTTGCTCCATTCACCCTGCTGCCTACACCAAGTGGTCCCTGTCTGGTTTCTCAAGGGTAGGACTAATCCCAGCCAGACACAAGTGTATGTTGGGTGCTCACTGTGCCATCTCTGACCACGAAATGCTGCTCCCTGCTGGGGATGGGGGACTGACAGGGAACACAGGGCATGGCTTGTGCTCTTGCCAAGAGCTTTGCTTTCCCAGAATGTGCTCAGGAGTTGTGTGCATTGCAGGCTGGCACTGGTGTACCTGAGGAGCAGCCAAGAGGAGGCAGGCTGGGCTACCTGTACTTGCTGGGGAAAAGATGGGGAATGAAACGTGAAGCTCGACAGAAAGCTTAGGAATGACTTGAGAAAATCCAGGCTGTCCCTGGTGCTCCTGACCTGAGGTGTTGACACTGCCAGAGACAGAGGATCAGGTAGCAGGAAGTCAGGGGCTGACTATCAGCTATGAGTGACAAACCCTGTGGCAGCCTGTGGGTCAGTGTCTGAAACCCTTCCCTGCTGAAGGGCTGTATCCAACAGAGTAACCCAGGACATTTAATCCTGACTGCACTGAACACAACCAGCTGCAGCTAGGCAGATGAAGAAGGAAAAAAGCTTAGCAAAGAGTCGCTTCTGCTTACACCCTCTGTGCTCATGCAATGCCTTGGAGTGTGTCTGCTACTGCTCTTTCCCCACAGCCTGCCACTCATGCTGACCCGAGACAGGGCTGGAGCTGGGACTGCTGTGGCATTTGAGGACCCGATGACAAGTAAGGAAATCCTGCATGCTGTGTGGAACTGGGAGCCTGGACAGGTTGCCTCTGTGGCTGTGCTGCCCGGTGTGGCTCGGTCAGTAAAAGCCTGTGCAGGTGGGGCCTTCTTAGCCAAACGCTGCTCCCCTGCTGGAATGTGATCCCTGCTGGCTAATCTGGGCACAGCTGCTCCTTCAACAGCTGAGCAGCTGGGTCAGCTGCTTGGGTAGGGCAGTACTCCTCTGTGGAGCATTTCAGCCATCCCAGGCTTTTTATGGGGAGGCCGACAGGCTGCCTTGGTGTCGGCAGCGCTGTCCCGCACTGCAGCAGCTGCTCAGAGCTGGGTCCCCCCAGGGGAGAGGCAGGAGCCCGGCTGCTCTGCAGGGCAGGGGCACGGATAATGGAGGGATTCACTCCTGTCCTGCATCTACCCCATCATTTATTTATGGGACAGGAAGCTAAGTGTTTAGAGGCTTGGGTGTGTTTATTAGGGAAAGCTCAAGGCAAGTCTTGCTGGTGTGCTTTGCCTTGCCAAGTAGGGCTTGGGATTTTTGTGTTGCATGTGGGGTATTTGGGGTTGGAAGCTGGGGAAAAGCTTTTTGTCTTGTTTCTCCCTCTGTCACATAACCTGGCTGAAGGTAAGTGTAGTCAGGTGTGTGACACTGAAAATGTACAAGGCCCTGATGTAGCAGTGGCAGAGGAGAGCTTACAGCTCTGTGTGTGTCTCTGTTCCAGGCTGCCCTGGTCAGACGAGGTCTGTGTGCCTCAGAACTGACAAGAATAAATCTAATCCCATTTTTTGCTCTTAAGCTGGCAGTCCTGATTGCCAGGTAGGTTAGTCACAAGTGTTCCTGGCTGTGGTGCTCAGCATACAAAGAGCGCCTTCCTGGGGGCCACCCCCTCCTGGACTTCCCACAAGAATTAGCTTTATCCTGCTTTTTAGCGCTGGCAGTTACCACTCGGGAGACCATAAAATGGGAGAAAGGGTAGGAAGGAAGTGTCCCTTTGCCAGCATTTCCTGCTGCTTGAGTCTTTTCTCCCATGTCCAAGAGCTATAAATAATCCTGTTCCTCTAAGAGACACCAGTAAATGCAGAGTGCCCTGGCTGGCTCCTGGAGTGGTGACAAGGCTTTGTCTCCTACTAGAGCCATGGGGAAAGCCAGAGCTCCGTGGCCTGCTACAGAGGAGAGGGTCACAGCAAATGGGAAAGTGACACTTGTCCCTGCCAAATGTGCTCTCCTGGAGCACACAGGGAACTCATGTCAAGATTCCTGGGAGAAGTTTGAGCCCTGCTTGCTGTGGGGAGGAGAAGAAAGCACCACAACATGGCCGAAGGGTTTTCTTTCTTTTTTGAATTTAAATCCTGTGCAGTGTGCTGTCACCATTTTATTTCTTTACAGCATCAAGGAGAGAGAAAATGGGACCTCAAAACCCACTACAAAACAGCTGTGAGGTTGTGTTTTACAACATGGACACTTAGCTGGGTGTGAGGGAAAAAAATCTTAAGTAGAGCAGGCTAGTCAGGGAAGTGGTGGAATCATCATGCCTGCAGACACTTAGAAAAGGTGGAGACGTGGCACAGTGGTGGATTTAGTGGTGTTAGGTTCACAGCTGCACTTGACCTTAAGGGTCTTTCCTAACCTAAATTATTTCATGAACACAGATTAAGTGATAGGTGCTTTCACCTCACACCTTGGAAGATGAGAACAAATAACCAATTGTAAAAAAAAAGATGAGTTTGGAAGCAATAGATTGGACAGGAATTAAAGTCTCATGCGCAGCTTAGAAGAGCAGTGAGGGCTAAGACAGACCAGCAGCTTTGTCTTCTCAGAAAATACTCTCCCTGAGCAGTTCACATTAACCTCACTAGACAGAAATAGGCCATCCAAGTGACTGTGGCTACATGAGCCTGCGTGTGGCACTGTTTGTCACAGCCTCAAAAGACATTCAGAGGACACCGTGCACCCAGGAGCTGGGTGCGAGGGAAGCTGAGGGGCAGCCCCAGGTGAGGCATGAGAAGCCAGCAGGGTCGCTTCCCATGGAATTTACAAGCAAAATGTTGCCTGACAATTTCTTCCAAATGATACACATACAAAATTCACCAACAACTGGAGTACAAAATGAGGAGGCTAACACCAAGCCAGCTCTGCCAGAGGTGACTGCAGTGTTCCTCCCTTGTGCCCTCACCTCCCACTCCCTCAGCCCCAGTTCCAGCATTTACTAACCAAAGGATGTGACGGAGGTTTGGGCACATGACTGGATGTTGCAGGGGCAGGATATCTTTGGGGTCAGACAGGTGCACACCATGTACCCATCCTGTCCAGGCTGTGGGCAGGAGCTGAGGGATGACGGCAAGTCCTGCCATGCTGAAACCCCCACGGTGAGGGCACGCTCCCTCCTTTCGCAAACCAAACACCTGATGCTCCGGCTTTCCAACAAACATGGATGTTTTCCCCCTTAAATCCCCAACCCAGCTGCGTGTTGCCAATCTGCCTCATGAAGAAAAGAAAAATGCATAAAAAATATAGTTTTACTCACCTTTTCTGAGCAGGCTTCAGGCTGAGATGTGCATCCTCCTGCACTGCCTCAGGGCTGGGACTCCTGTCCAGCTGCCCCCAGCCCAGCTGTCCCTTGTTAGCCCTGATTGCCACACAGGTGTTGGCCATAAAAACACAGCAGGAAGGATGGTGTCCTAGTTTAGGGCAAATCTGTGAAAGAACCTCTAAATGGGCGCTTTTTCTTCCCCCACTTCTCTCTCAGAGTCAGTCTAAAAGGTGCAGAACTTAATATATAACATAAACCAGGTGACTGGGGATACCAGTATCATAAAGTCACCCCAGGACAGGTGGGCAGTGAGCCTTGCTGTGGTTTTGGGTGGTGTTGGTGAGGGCTGGGTGTCCAGAGCCCCTCACTAACAGGGCTCCCCTCAGCAGCCCCAAGATGGCGGCGGGGGGGCCTTTGTGAGGTAAAACGGTTCCCGCCGAAAATTTTGGCGGGAAGAGGCAAGAGAAACTTCTGCTCAGGGCCCCCTTTCTCTCCCAAAACCTCCCTTCATGGCTTCTCATATTCCAATTTCATCCTTTCTAAACTGGTGTGGGATTTGCTTTTATTTTATTTGTTTTGTTTTGTTTAATCAGAGTTTTATTTTACCTCAGTAAAAGCACAAGCACCTCAGGAATGGTTCCCTCCATATTCTGTCACACTTTTGCCAGTTCTTACCCTCCCCAGCTGAATTATGTCCTTGGTTTTTGTTTTTTTCTTTTGCATTTCAGTTCTCCAAGTTAATTTAGTGTTAAAATGAAGGATTTAAAAAGTATGGCTGGATTTGCTCATTTGAAGTCACCCTGCTTCTCAGCACAGCCCTAGCAGAAGGCCATGGCCTTGGGCTGCAAACCACAGAGCAAAAAGCTGCCTGGCTCACATGTACCGTTTCCTATATGGTGTAGGGAAAAATAGCCTTTTTTCCTAATCCCAAATCTGGCAGAGCCACATTGACCCCCCCTCTCAAGCTTGTCTGAGGGTGCTGAGCCTGGCTGGCTCCGTCTCCCCGACATCTTGAAACAGGCAAGAAGAAAGCAGATTTTTGCAATGGTTTTTGGCACCGATGTGCAGCAAGCTGCACAAAGGCTGGCCACAGACACACATCCAGCTGCACAAAGCAAAGGCTGATTGTTCAGTAACACATGGACAGAAACAGCAGAGCTGCAGGACGCTGGGTTCCTGTGCAAAGGCATGAGCAGCACTCCTGTGGGAACGCAGGCAAGCCGTGCCACAGTCAGGACACATCCCCTCTGCAGGGCTAGAAAGGGATGAGCAGCCCTTATGGAAACACTGGCTTGAAGGGTGGTTGAATGAGGCACAGAGAAACCAGGGATGGGGTCTCTAGATGTGCCTCACTTTGCTCACGCCCATTTAAAGCAGGAGCTCTGATGAAAAGCTCGTTCTGTTCCCTGTTTTGCAAAGGACAGGATTTATGTGGAGCAAGTATGGAGACTATCCAGTCTGCTTTACTTACTTCTCTTAATTACCAGCCTAAACAGTCACGACAGCAGTGGAGTTGTAAAGATGATGGATAAACTGACACATGAACTGTTGTGCTCTGGGTTTAACCAATTTTATAGGTAACCTTCACAAAAGATCTTGTGTGCAAACTTACAACCCAACAGACCCTGGTATGTAAACACTCTTTACTAGACTTAGTCTTGAGGAAAGCATCTGATGTGAATTCCTTGTGACCATCAGTCGCCCAAGGGCTCTGATAAAAAAAGGCCAATTTTAAGTTGGATGAGTAGATTTTCCTGGCGCTTGTATCATGTGCATGTTGCTAAAAGCATGTGAGGCCTTAGCGTGAGCTGGCCTGCTTTGACTGGAGGTACTAATTTAAGGGATGCTGACTCAGGAAAAAGGCTTTTCCTAACTAATATGCAAATGTAACGTAATGGTATTGATTTTGTACAAGGAGATTTTACCTGGAACTGGCCCCACGTGTCAGAAGTGTAACCGCTTTATCCTTTTCCTCCAGTCACCAAAGGGAGATCTGTGCTTTCCCACTGTGCCTGCAGCCAGCTGAAGGGGGCTGTCACACCATCCTTCAACAGTCCATGACCTACCTGGAGACAGCTCTGGAGAAGGTGCTTGACCCAGGTACCATAAAGTGACTTGGGAAGGAGTCCCACCCATTGTTACCTACAAACAGAGGCCACCCAGGCTGGCAAACACCCATGCTGTCATCCCTGTGGCAGGGTGGGATGTAGGGCATTCCACACCAATATCCAAACCAGATGTTTCTCTTATAAAAATAAGGCTCAATATTAGCAAAAATTGCCAGGCTGCTGAGAACTCCTTCCCTGAGATGTGTTTTGGGGAAGGGGTAGCACAGCAGATGGTGCTCACTGTATTTGAGGTACTGGTTTTCTCCACTGCAGCCACTGCAATACAGTGTCAGTTTTAAAAATCTCACGTAACCAGACCCAAAATGCGGATTTGTGTCAGGAAGTTAGCAAGGACTGGACAGGAAGTGTAAAATTCTATCCCTGGTATTCCTATCCCATGTAATCACTCTGGGAAATCCTGGGTTTCCACTATCCTCTAGTTTCAGAGCCACAGGAGAAAAGCAAGGTGGGATAAAAAGCAATGAATACACTCCCCTTTTTGCCAGAGGTAAAAGAAGTAGATCTTTTTTGCCTGAGAAGTACATCTTCAGGCTTGCCTGATGTTTAATTACCTTTAAATACATATCAAGGTGTACTTCTACCAAACTCAGTAAACTTTGCAGTTAGGAGGGTGATTTTTGAACAAAACTGTGCAAAGAGAGTTTTTCCTGCACTTACCACAAAAACCGTGGCTTTAACTCATTTCTCACTTGAAAATCTAAGCTGTTATAAAAACATCAGTGACTATCACTTGCCTTATTAGCTGATGTTTCTGTGTACTGTGGGAACACACACAGGACTTGCTTTATCCACCCCAAACTTGCTGGAGGTGCTCCCCCTGAAGCCATGTGGGTTCCTGGAGTAAACAGGCAGATCCTGTTTGGATGGAGCCTCTTCCTGACCTGGGCATATACGGCAGGACTTGTGTTTTTCAGGAAAGAACTCACTAAATGGAAAATATACAAACACCTCCCAGATCTACCATGTCTTCTTGAGTTGTTTTGGTAAGTGTAAGATGGAAGGGTGGCTGCAAAAGAAAAAATAAACAAAAAAAAAAAAATCTGCATTTAAAGTGGTTTTAAATCTAATAAATCAAACTGCAGCAGTGGGTAGGATTTTTGCTTTTAGGGCAAATGAAATGTGTTGACTGGATTGAAACAGCTCCCCCCGCTGTTTGCCTGATACTCTACTCAAATCTGGGCTTTATAAATCATGTCGGTAGAGATCCCTGTCACTCCTCAGGGAAATCTTTCAGGCTGCAGCAGAAACAAAGACCACAGCTATGAGTATTCAAAATAAAGACACAATTTCCCCCACATTCCTGCAGTGAATTCCTTGCTTCATGCTAGCTTGGACTCTCCTGAGATACAGGTTGCCATAGAAGATGTTTGAACTCCAGACTCAGAGGACCACAGGATCCAGAAGAGGAAAAAATTTGTTATTTTCGTGGCCAACATCTCCTTTGTAAGGTCACTTAATGGTACCTTCAGCATGTGTTGAAACAGGGTGAAGCTGCTTCTGGTAGCCCTTTATTAAAAAACAACCACAACAACAGCAACAGAACCAGGATGAGATGTTTCAAGCTACTGCATGACTATCTTTGGGGTTCCCTCTTTTAGTTAAGGTCTTCACAAAATACAAAATTAAATGTCTTTTCTACATACAGAACAAAGTAGAATCAAGTAATGATTAGAGTATGTACAAAAACTTACACATTCTGTCTTGTTCTTTAAAAAATATAAATATCAATAATGTTCAGTAAAATGGGTTGGTTTTATTTTTAAGGCTTCATTCTTAGATCCTTCATTATTTAATGAGGTGTCAAGTAGGCAGAAAAGGGAGGGAAGAGAAGGGGTGATGTTTTAATTGAAGGTCACGTGTTTAATTCCTGTGAGATTCTTCCTCATCTCTGGCAGGAGGAGATTTCCCTCCACACTGATTTAAATTTCCAGGAAGCAGAGGTGGAAGGAAAGGAAAATAAAACCTTTATTATTGCTATTTTTTTTTTTCCTTCATCAAAATCTTGGTTTAGACCTGTCTCTATCCATTGTCTTTGAAGAGGACCATCTGCCAAGCACTGGGAGCACAGGGACTCGGGCAGGGCTGTATCCCAGCTCCACCTGGGACAGGTTAGAGTGAGGAAGAGGCTGCTGGAGGTGTTTTAGCACCGACCCCAGAGGAGGTAGCAAGTGCCGCAGCCAGGGCAGCTGCTGCTGCTGCATCCCTGGGTGTGAAGTCCGTGGGCAGACTTTCCATCAGGCACTTGAGCTGCTCCTGGCCCAGCTTGATTTTGTCGTCGAGCTCTCGCTGCTCTATGAGGAGCGCGGACTTCATCTTCACAAAGTGCTGGTAGTCCTGGAGCTGCTCCTCAGAGAGGTAGTTGCCCAGGATGTCCAAGACCACCCGTTCCCGACGGTCCAGGTTTTCCTTGAGCTCCCGGGCGTCTTCGTGCTGGCCAGCCAGCAGCTTCCGCTTCTCGTTCAGCAAACTCTGCACACCAGAGACAGCCCTTCAGTACCAGCAGCACCACACTCCCTGGTCCCCCTTGCCTTCCTCCCAGCACCACCTCTGGAGATGGCTGCTAAGCTCCCAGGCCTGCAGTCAAAAGCCTGGGAGAGGAGGCTGCATTCCTCACTATGGGGGGAGTGTAAACCACGCTGAATTGGACTCTGAACGTCCTTGCCAAAGGGAGGCAGGAAACCCCACTTGAAAGCAACAACTACCTGGAAAATCTCCTTTCAAAACCACCCCAAAAATGTTAAAATGTGGCTGTCCTCAACAAAGCTGCTCTGTGTCCAGAAAAAGGCTGCAGGATCCCAGCCATTCGTACAAACAGGGATTAAGATTCCCAGGAGCAATGTCTGAGCTGCTGCTGGTGCAAGAGCACCAAGAGCACCAAGAGCCCTGTGCTGCCCTCCTGGCAGCCCCTGGACGTCCCTGTATTGCCTTGGGGGTGGTGGCTGCTGCCCCATGCCCCGAGCAGGCCAGGGCTGTGCCGATACGTACCCGCTCCTCGCTGTTGGCATTGTCCCCCAGGCTGCTCAAGACGTTCTCTACACGGGCCAGGCGTCCCGAGAGGGAGAGCAGGAGGTTCACCACCTTATCCAGATCACCAATGAACATCTTGTACTTGTCAAACTCGTTGGGTTTGCACAGCGTGCTGATCAACAGCTCCACCTCCTCTCCCAGAGCATTATTCATCTTAATGTCTGCGAGCAGGCTCTCCTTGGCTTCCTTCAGGATTTCCAGTTTGTGGGTCAAGCTCCCGATGAGCTCAGCCTGTTGGAGGGGAAGCATTGCCACATTGGTTGTTACCAGCATCACCCTGCTCATATGGGTGATGACAACAAGAGGATATGGCTGCGGTTCCTGAGGAGCAGGGTCAGGCCAGCAACAGCTGACAAAGAAGGGCGGAAAGGGAGAAAATACTGAAATTCCCCACCTCGGAGATAACCCAAGTAGCCCAATAGGTTGCATGAGGATATATTTGTTCAATGAACATTTATAAAAGAGATCTCTGATTTGGTGTTCTGATACCCAGCTACCTACAGATGAGCGCTCTTCAAAACCTCCAAGTGAGAAGAGCTGCAGCCACGTCTCCAATGTATTCCTGACATCCAGCCTGAAACGCCTTGAACTGCACCGAACAAGTGCCTCGCACAGAGGCATCAAGGAAATGTTCACACCAAAGATGCTCTGGATTTACTGTGCCTGAACACACATCCATTTTGCAAAAACACTGAGACCTATTTCCCTGCCAAAGAAAAGGAGGCCCCCGGGGTTCGGTTACTCCAGGAATGGCAGTGCTGCACATGTGCCGGAGATCCTAATTTCTGTTAGGATTTAGTGGAAAGACATATGCAAAAGCAAGTCTCTGGCCTAGGGCTTGCAATTCTTGTTTCCATTTGCTCAGAACTGAGAGCACAGCCAACAGGGGAAGCTCTCTATACTACAGGGAGGGATTCTCAGTGTCTCTAGTTCATGCACTGCTGAGGCACAAACATGGGTGTGTTCATCTACTCTGCACAACACAAACACTGCAGGATGAAACGAGTCCATCACAGGGTGGCCTGAAAATATTCTCCCAAAGTCCTTTTTCCATCACCACCGAGTGTCATTCCAGGCAGGAGGCAGTGCTGCTTTGGAGGAGGAAGGATTTTTGAACACTGGTCAGGCTGGGGTCACTGAGTTGGCCCCGGTGCTCAGGATGGGCTGGCAGTGGGGTTCCCAAGCTGCTGTGGCAGCAGGGAGCACACGGTGCTGTATGGCCAGGCACCACTAGATGGAATACTCGGGCGTGCATTGCTGCGTGGCTGCGCTACAGCCTGCTCTCAGCTGCCACACACATGCAGAGGCTGAGCAAAAGGCCAGTAACAGTCCCTGAAAACAAACATCCACTCCCTGGAATGACCTCCACCGGCTAGCAGGGTAGCTCAGGGGAGAGGGAGCAAAGGTGGTACTAAATCCCACCTCCTAAGGGTCAACCAAAACTCCTTTATGGACATTCCTCCCTCGGAAGTACCCAGAGACAAAACCCAGCCCTTGCCTTCCCTGGGGCTAGGATTTAACTAATGCCCCCTTCCAAAGAAAGATCCTCTGCAGCTGCTTGCTGGATCAAATCCTGAGGAGCAAAAGGAAGGATCCACGTTCCATGGTTCAAGTTACATAGGGAAATCTCTATGGCAGGGCTCCATGGGGTCCCAAAGTCTGGCATTAACCTCAGCAAGTTCTCAGGTGGATGGAGCTGCTGGGAACGGGCAGCTGTTCCTCCCTGCTCCAGGAGATTTGTCCTCCAACTGTAGCAGGAGGCTATGGGGCTCCTGACAGTGAGGCACCTTTGCTCTGAAGGCCTGGGAGCTGGAGGGGCCTATCACTTGGGTTTGTGCTCATTAATCAGTGACTCTCCTGCAATCCCAAATACCAGCCAACAGAGCTCTTTCAGGGGCTGCCACTCCCTTGGGAGCTGGGTGCAGCTTGGGCCAGATGATGAAAGCAGCAGGCAAAGGCCCTGGGCAAATGCTTTTGTTTAGGGACCCACCTGTGTATTTGTGACCCAGAATCTGTCACACAGAAAGAAGAGGTGGTGAACAGAAAATTAAATCTGGGCTGTGCTACTCTGTCCATGGCAGTGTGGGATGGTTTAGACTTCGAGGCAGGCATGGCTGCTTTCAACAGGAAGGTAGAGGGTATGAAAGAGAGCCACAGACAGGCCACAAACACCTGCCTGTGGCCCCCTGGGATGTGGGAGCTAAGCAGCATGTCTGTAATTACCAGGTAACTCATGTGAGACAACCGTAGGGGCAAGTCAGAAGGCCCTGTGAAAGCCCTGGAAGCAGAGCATGGAAGCCCCCAGCAGGAGCAGCAGGGCATGTTCCACAGTGAAATGGAGCCTCAGTAAGAGAGCAAAATGTGTCCTCCCCTCCTGCCTGCAGACAGCAGGTGAAATGGGTAAAGTGACTTCACTCAAGAGCAAAGTCCTGGGAAAAAATCTCCAGCGCTCAGTGCAGCCACTGGCTGGACTCCGTTCTTGTTTGCAACCCAAGCTGGCCTTGCACAACTTGCTTCACCTCTCCCTTTTCCTTCCTTGCTGTGGAACAGGGACTGACAGTCTGTATACTCAGCATTTGGTATGACCCAGGCCCGCCTCAGGGTGGTGCAAGATTGGTACTCAATTTGCAGTGAGTAATTCAGATTAACTCTCTTCTACAATTTGGGTGACTCTAACAAAGTTTTGCAGGTGGTCTAATCGCTCCCACGCAATTTTGGGTGCTGCCAAAAGCTGACATCAAATAGAAATCCACTTTACTTCAGGGCTTATTATTATTTCAGGAATGTAAGCAGCAAACAGCGCTGTGTGCCGAATTTACCTTTTTCTCATTGATGTCCAGCAGCTCTTCTTCCTCACCTGCTTCTTCTGGCAAGTCCTTGATCTTATTCAGCAGCTCTGCTTTGGGTGCTGAAACGCTGTAGTAAGCAGGACAGGTGACCAGGGTGACAGGAGCTTCCTTTTCTTCTCTCCTACAACACAGTGAAGAAACAGGAAGAGTTCAGTCTGAGCCTGACTTTTCCCAGTGTTTAGGTCCATCTCCTCTTTTGTACCTTCCCAGTGATTAGCCACCAGGAGAAGGCAGATTCCTGCCATCAGGGGGTGTGTGTCAGCTGCTCTCCCAGCACAGCACAGCCACTGGGTTCAAGGGTGACTGGACACCACACAGGATTTACCTTGCTGAAGGTCAGCCAGCACAGCTCGGCTGGAGGTGGCCAGACTGACCTTATCTGCCATCATGCAGTACACCTGACTCCTGGACAGTTCTCCAGCTGCCACTAGGAAGTCTCTGTCCTAAAAAACCCACACTGGGGGTCTTGGGCTGATCTTGTAATAAGTAGGTCCCCTCATCCCTCCTTCCAGATTTTGGCCTCTTGTTATCTCTGTGCCTGCCATT